TATGCGTGATCGTAGAACTGGTCATATGCGTGGTCTCTAGAAGTGGTCACATGCGTGGTCTCTAGAAGTGGTCATATGCGTGATCGTAGAACTGGTCATATGCGTGATCTCAAGAACTGGTCATATGCGTGGTCTCTAGAAGTGGTCATATGCGTGATCGTAGAACTGGTCGTGTAAGTGATCGTGAACTGGTTGTGTTAAAATCCTGAAACAGATAGATCTCGTGTAACAACGTTAGTGACTATCTAATTTCCTTCTGTTCTAAGGCTTGCTCGGTTGCTTCTGTCCAATGTACCTGCTAATCGACATCTCCAACCGTCTGAGAGAAAGCGGTTGTTTTCCTTACTGCTGTCCTGGAGCTCTTCTTGGACTGAGAATAAAACTCAGACTGGAGCAAAACATTGAGGTACGTAACTACGAGAGCGAGTTGATATTTTCGGCGCACAACTGCCTTGATTTTCGCGTACACTTTGTCCTCCCTAGACTTAGCGTAATTTGGCTTGCGTTCAGCCAATCAACGTGTATGTAATGACTACACCATCGTTAGCTCCTGTCCCCTTTGCGCCTTGTGTCAACTCTCAAGAGAAATCAAGCACGTTGGACGTTACACTGCCTAGGCTGGTCGACATTGAATGACTTTGAATGTTTGGGTTAGATTGCACTTAGACCTCACTTAGTGACGGACTCCACTTAGATTCATGGGAACCTTTAATGTAACTGTACAGTCAAATGTTCACCGACCGAAAAGAAAAGGTTTATGCACTAGGGATTTTAGCTGCAAGACAGACATTGATAGAAAGAAGAGAGGCGGATGGACGAACCGGAAATCCAGCAACAAAGACAGACAGATATATATAGACGGACGGACGGACGGACGGACGGACAGACAGTTAGACGGACGGATGGACAGACAATCCGACAAACAGTCAATAGGACAGACGAGCAGACAAAACACTACGAGCAGACACACAGACAAACCAACTTTATCTGGTTAGAATGAAGGAAAATTCTAGTCTGTATAAATATTTCGACATCAAGCCATATGTTCCCTTACATAATTGACAGATAGTTTATTAACACTTTACAGATGGTTATGGAACAGTGATACGTAATGGTTATAATAATTAACACTTACTGTTCTTAGGCACCACAACATAAACCAACACCATCTGTGTTAACCAAACTTAGGTCCAACGTAGTAATTGCTAGCCTGCTGTGAATACGTTTTTAGTGTCGGCTCGTTCCTTTCCCTCTGGTCTGGCCACAAAAAGTAATTGGAAAATCAGACGTCATTGAAAATTTTCCAAAGACTTATATACAACAAAACCTCCAAAGACCGCGGAAAGATGAACTAAAGCTATATATCTCAGCCAAAATTCTAGGTAAAAGGAGTTTTAGATACGGAGATACGAGCGATGGGTTATACCCATAATGTAGTTGACATGAGTGGGTCCGCCATCTTGGTGTCCTATTGAGGGGCACAATGATGGCGGCCAAATCACGAAATTTGAAAATCTTGTTTCTTTTGCACCCACTTCAATATTTAAATGAAAATAACTATCGGAATAAAGTTAACAGTCATCTACTAAAATAAAAACGTATTATTTCAATCGAATTTCCCCATTTGTAATGCTTTGAAAATGCGTGACAATGACTGCACTTACATAACTCATACGGCACAATCAATCCACTTTAGTTAGAAGGCCAATCGAAGGTCCTAAGTACGTGTTACGCTCGCCAAAAAGTTCGGACAATGTTCTTGGATTTCGATACGAATGTACCACAGGTAGCCCAAGCTTGGTGTCTGTGATATCATGTTATAAGGAAATGTATGGGGATTCTTCAAAAATGTCAAAAAAATCCACCAGTAAGGAATAAGAGAAGGTTGGATACACGGGATCCCAACAGCGAACCATCACGAGTCTTTGAAACCTCGTACGTCTTCGAATTTTCTTTCCAGCGCCAAATTTTAGTCATAATAAAGGTGGGGGAAAAAATCCTTAAAACGGGCTAAATTCAAAAATAACCACACAGAGCAAAGGAACTGCTATTTCTTAGGCCCCGTCCACACTGTGCCGGATAAATTTGAATCCGCAACTTTCACACCGAAACCGAAAAAAAAGTTTTCCGTCCACACATGAAAACGGATAAARTGTTTCGCGTCCACACTAGTCCGATCAGAGGCGGCAAAAACGCTTCATTGCACATCTGAGCATGCGCATCGAAGCTGAAATTCAGCCTGCGGTGAATTTTCAGCCTTCCCGCCATGTTCCCATGACAATCATGACCTCATCGTATTCGAAAAATTTCGGGTACGAAATGTCCTCCGTCCACACTAATACGGCTAGACGGCGTCTTCAAATTGTTCCACTCTGGAGACCGTATTCGAAAACATTCGTTTTCGGTCAGAAACCAAGCTTGGGCTAACTGTGAATGTACTGACTTTACCTCCGTTTGCATTACTACGCGGCCACCCCAGACACAAATCGAGTCGTGTAGTTTGCAATAGACTACTGTCAATCATTCATGTTGACGCCATTTATACACGTTTGGATCAGTGAGTTGGCTTTTCTRTCAAACTTTCTCAGTCAGATATCACGAAGGAAAGTTCCGAAAGCGATTGCAAAGAGTTTGAGTACATCCAAGTAGAATGAGGTGTTTGATTGACGGCAGTCTATTGCAAACTACACGACGCGATTTGTGTCTGGGGTGGCCGCGTAGTAATGCAAACGGCGGTAAAACTTTCTCTCGGCCCCCATCCATCCAGGATTATTAGGGAAACAGATAAACAAGCAAAGTAAATAGTTTGTCCAAACGCCAGTACATTTGTATGGGAAATGGAATCTTCTTGGTGTCCGTTACACAATCCAACGCGATTCATACCACATGACAGCTAGCGCCGAAGCGGTCAATTCAGAATGACCGCTTCAGTGATTTCGTGATACATTGAAAGCCACTGAAGAGGACGAAATCGACACGAAACAGAATAATTTCGCACGCAAACAAAACCCGCTTTACTAAACACAAAAAATGCTGTCAAAAATATAATTTTTATCACAATTGGGTAATTTAAAAATTGTCAGTTTAAAGAAAAGAGATATATATTGATGGAAACCAAGAAAAATTAAAATAAAACCGCGGAAAAAATGATAGCTAAAATTTCTCATTGGCCGGAATTCGTCTAAACAAATTATGCTAAAAATGTAACTCCAGACGTTTATACAGTGAAGGATTCAGCGTGGCAGATCGGCGAAATCCAACAGAGTTCTAATTTGGATCTTTTAAAACAATTCAAGTCAGTAAAATACATTCAGGTAAGATTGAAACTGGTCTGTATTTACTTCTTGTCTAACAAACCATGCAAAAGATTTCGAAAAAATATTTTCTTACAAGACCTTACCTTAAGTCTCTTAAGGCCTACCAAAGGTAGCGACATTTTACCCAACGTTAGCCCAAAAATATTCTTTAGATAGTAACATTTTGACCCAAATTCGTTTGGAAGACCATGACAAAGGATCCCAACATTTGTCGCAACATTTTTTTGCAAAGTTTTTCATCGCCTTCAGTGCGTTTACAAGTAAAGCGGGCTTATTTATTTGGATCCGAATGAATATTGAATATTGTCTTGTTTAATAATAATATAAATTGTTTCCTCGAATAACTCTCCCGAGTCGAGCGAAAGGTGATCGAGAAAGGATAAGTCTCTTTTTAGCACAACTTTCTATGAAATAAGAACGAAAGGAAGTAAGGTTAAGATATTTGAAGCGCCATGTGATCAAACGTTGAGTTCAAACATGCGTTTAATATATTAGTGATCTTGTTATTTGATAATGTATTTTATCTAAAACTAACTCTCCAATAACTTTGAACTATTCTAACATAAATATGATAATACCAAACGATTTTTAGGTAATTATAGCTAAAGATTTCTTGAAAGATTTCTTTCACGGAATTTTGTTAGGAAAGGAAACCTAATTTCATACTTTCTTTCGAATTAGCTGCGAGCTGGCACGTGTTTGTTTCATCGTCATAAGTTTATAGCCTGCGTTGCCGGCTGTAGATTTTGAGCAGCCGCCTACTGGCCAAATCATGCAAAAAATGTACTCGAGCAATAACTTACTAGTATAAATTTTTAAATTGTTACCTTGAATTTCAATATTTTTTTCCGAAACACTCACAGCGTCTATTTGTCATGCTATAGTTTATATGTGAATTATTTATTATCTTTGACTTGACATCTAATAGTCGATGTGTCATGTCGGGGTCTGCAAAGATCTCTAAACATGTGTCTACAAAGCTGGATTCCCTACCCAATGACATCATAAAGTCAAAAGAAAAGTTCCTTTATAGTCAATAATAAGGCTTTAGTCTTTTCATATATCGATATTTTTATAGCCTATTGACTTTTTTCATGATTCTTTATTTATTAGAATTATTTTCTAATCATTTTATATGACATTAGCATGGCCCTTCTGAATAAAGATTATGTATTTTTTGTTTTGTTCCATGTTTCATATCAAGTATGGAAGCAAATACCAAATACGACAGACTCCAAGATGATCAGAATCAACCAGTTATGACACAGCCAGGTGTAGCCAACCCACCTCCATATTCTGGACCAGAATACCCTCAGCAAGGCTATCCTGCCCAAGGGTATCCCCCACAGGGTTACCCTTCTCAGCCTGCTGGGGTGTCACACACCACTACTAATGTTGTTGTGGTTAACCAGCAACCAACCTTCATAGTGCAAGGGAAAAGAGATTGGCATAGTGGGATGTGTGCTTGTTTTGATGATATGGGCTCTTGTAAGTATTGTTGGGTTTCAATGGTATTATGGTCATCATGGTTGTCATGCAATACTTCTCTTTGTAGAAGGCTAGGCTATAATCAGCTGATAACCATGTATGGATGGATGGAAGGATGAATAGTTGGGAGGATGAATAGGTAGACAGATGAATGGGTATGATGGATGGGAGGATGGATAGATGGACAGGAGAATGAATAAATGGGAGTGAATAGATGGGTAGATGGATGAATGGATGAACTGATGGATGAGTGGATGGATGAAGGGAGGTAGGGATGGAGGAATGGATGGATGGATGGAGGGATTGATGGGAGGATGGATGGATGAATGGGAGGATGGATGGATGAGCTGTGTTTGATGAATGGATAGATGGAAGTGATGGATGGATGAATGGATGGATAGATGGATGGGAGGATGGATGGATGAGCTATGTTTGATGAATGGATAGATGGAAGTGAGGGATGGGTGGAAGATGGATGAATGAACAGAAGCTAAAAATTAGTACAAAATAAATTAAAAACATGTCCTTTAGGTTGCTGTGCAATATGGTGTCCAATGTGCTTGTTGTACGAAATCACCCAGAAGATGGGTGAAGATTGCTGCTTCTGTCTTTGCTGCCCACTGGAAGCCATGTTTGGACTCAGGGTACAACTCAGAACTGAACAGAACATTCAGGTAACATCAGCTTTCTTTTATTTATAATTAAAATAATTATAAGAGTGGAACCAAATTTGCCTCTCTCCTCTGAATCTTGGATTTCCCCCCTTGAATTTGGCATCAATCTTGGAGTGTGAGTAAAATTCATTGGATGATTGTCCATCTTGATTTGAAGGTTCTGTAAACGACTTCTCCATTTTTTAAATGTAAATTTGGGTTTCATCCTTAAATATCCATGAATCACTAATAACCAAGTGTGGTATAGTAGCATTAGCCTATATTACCCTAGTATCCTAGGGTATTGGATTGGGCTCATTTTCTGAACTTACCATCATGTGAGTGGAGTTAATTGGATGATTCTGTCTTGTTTTGAGGGTTGTGGCTGTGAAAATTCACCTTAAAGATGCATGCAAATGACTTCTCCATGGTTTATGATTTCTATGTGGGTTTCATTGATCAATAATATTTTTAAATATTATCAATAATATTTTTAAATATTATTTTTAAAAAAATATTTTTTTGTTGTTCTTCAGGGATCCCTCTGTAATGACTACTGCTCAATTATTTGGTGTCAGTCATGTGTTTTGTGCCAGATGTCAAGGGAACTCAAGCATCTTGGACGCTAGAACTGCACCAGCCTTCTTTGTTTGGGCATAGTACTGTATCTGTTCCATGTCACTTCCTTTAGGATTATTTCTTTGTTTATAGTAAACCAATAATTCCATTCCAAGATTGATGTTTGAAATGGGTAAAAATTATGCCTAACACAAAAATCTGGCAGTGTCGATAAAAGTTCTACAAAGTTTTATTACTCAAATCAAGGACAGCCAAAATAATTTAGAAACTGACAAACAATAGAAAATGTTGAAATGTCTGACATGTATTGTAATATAGTTGCATATTATTGGTGTTAAGCACATTAATACTTTTATAGCATGATAGTTAAATGTATTTTAAGAATAAGGGAGGAAAGGTTGTTTGTAATGATTTTTAAGAGTATAAAATAAAAGGCGACCACAACATGAAAGTTGATAAAAAAAAGAAAAAACAAAAAATCAATTGACTTTAGTTAACTGTATGGCAGGAATAAACAACAGAATCAAGATGGAATTTGTTCCTAAACTGAGTTGAACTCATTATACCTCATTCACACCTAAACGTGTTTAGTTAAACTATGTTTTCATTAGGAAAAAAATTGAGAAACTAGAAACCTATAATATAATAAAACTTTCTAAAATATTGTCAGAGCAAGACAAAGGATAGTTTACAAGCATTATTTTACCAAGGATCCTGCAGTGTTTGTAGATAGTTTTCCAAACCTGTTTAGTTAAATCACTTTAAAACATGTTTAAGCCTAGGTGTGAATGGGGTATTAGTTTTAGCCTGTTTAGTTAAACCACTTTAAAACATGTTTAAGTCTAGGTGTGAATGGGGTATTAGTTTTAGCCTGTTTAGATAAACCACTTTAAAACATGTTTAAGCCTTGGTGTGAATGGGGCATTAGTTTTAGCCTGTTAGATAAACCACTTTAAAACATGTTTAAGCCTTGGTGTGAATGGGGTATTAGTTTTAGCCTGTTTAGTTAAACCACTTTAAAACATGTTTAAGCCTAGGTGTGAATGGGGTATTAGTTTTAGCCTGTTTAGTTAAACCACTTTAAAACATGTTTAAGCCTTGGTGTGAATGGGGTATTAGACTCTTGTTTGAAAGTAGAACATCAAGGATGTTATGGACTAGGAATGAATCCCTGATGGGTATAGACACCCAACAGGCTAGAAGAATGATGATCAAGACACCTGACTTTATGTGACTGCAGGACACAAGATTCCTGCCATGCCAAGAAGGCCAGAAACACGCAAAATGGGAAAAAATGATGATGAATTCATTCCTGTACCGAGTTGAATTTATTAGACTCTTGTGTTGTACATCACAAGAAACCACAAAGATGACCTTTGCAACCTTCAAACTATCCAACCAATGGAAAACAAATTCCATAAAAAGTAAATATACACAGTGGCACTTCTATCGGCAAAATAAATCAACTAAGGTGCAATAACTAAATGTTTGATCTAACTTCAACCTACTGTAATTTTCAAGTGTCGTTATAAGTCCAGTTTCCTGACACCATTAAATGCATATTAATGACATAAAAAATGTGTAGCAAAGAATTATTTACGAGTTACAGTCAAAGGACATGAAGTGTGCCCAGCTAGACTGCATTATTCAATCCATAAAAATATTTTTTGTTGTTCCAATCTTCCAAGAATGAAATCAAATTTAAATCCAGACTTGGAAATTTGATTAGATTACTTTATAGCATAACTGATAGAAAAAAACGTTAATCTGTTTGAGCTGATGATCTTAAAGACAATAGATTTTGTTGAAATTCTTCAATGTACGATTGGAAATAAGTTTTTGGGCTGTCTCATTTTTACGGGCCAGCGATTGCGCAGATTTGTCTCTCACAACGAAACCCTCACAACTTCAAATCAATCAAAATGTCTAAACACAATACATAAAATAGATAACTCCGTTATTTTTTAAATCTCAAATGGTTAAAAAGACTTAAAAATCGTGAATTAACCGTTATACAGTTGCTGATCAATGTTAGGAATGCGAGATTGTGACCTTATTAGGATTGCGAAGTAAAAATAGCCAGTTTAACCCAGAAAACAAGTGTTAGCTATTTAATGCTTCGATTCAAATTGACGCTCTACCTGTTTGCTTAGACTTTTTTACTCGCTCAAAAATTTATTTGATCAATTAAACCGATGAAAAAGGTGCCGAAAAAGGACAAAATTCCAGTTAATTGATGTAAAGATTATGAACACGGCAAAACAGAATGGAAATGTGGGTATTTGAAAGTCATTGATTTGTTCACAAATATTTCTCACATCAAAAAGCAAAGAATTCCCTAAAGCCTGTGATAAGCCTTGCAATCGGATTTCATTCATGATTTTTGAAAATAATTACGGAATATTAAAAAAACGAAGAATGATGTCAAAAATCGAATAATGAACTGAATAGTGCATTCTAGATGGGCACACTTCATGTCCTTTGACTGTAAATAATATTCAATGATAGTATGGATCAAGGAACCAAAAAAATTTTGCATTTCAACCAAAATAATCCCAGATAAACAAAGTTTTTACTCTGAAGTAGTTGGTTGAGAAAGCTGAAAGATTCTCTCATGGAACTTGGTGATGATGTGTTGTATCTGGCCTCCATTAATCAGATCAAAGTCATTTAAGTTCACTAGATGCAGGATTAAGTTTCTTTTGAGGTTCTTTTTGACTATTTCTTGGGCATTGTTTTCAACAAAACAACAGCAGGCATTGAAGACTTGGGAGTCAGACTGAAAACTGAAAAGTTGAGGAAGAGAAAAATAAGAATTGAGATAAGAAAGCTGAGATAAGAAAGAGATTATGGCCATGAAAATAACTTTGTTTAAGTTAATAAAGTTATCTTTAAGGGAGGGCTGATAATTAAACTAGATGGTTATCAAATGTAATCAAAAATAATATTATAAGCAATTTATGCATATTGGATTAAAAATAATAAAATCATTAATGTCTCTCATAAAGTGCTTTGCTAATCAGATATTAACAATATTAACAAGGATTAGCTGTTACAAATCAGATATAATTTGAATATTGCATATTGCTTTATTGAATGAGTCTGGAGTATTATTTCATGTTCTACTGGACATTTTGAGACTAAAGTGAGTCTTGACGAAGAAAATTCATGTTAAAGTTGAAGGCAAGATGCAGAGGGTGCTGTATTCAGTTTACAGACTTTTCCTCTGTGAAGGATTTCTATTATTGTACCTCATTATTTAACCATATTTTTTGAAAGATTATATAAAAATGTGTATGGAAGCTCTTATTACCGTAGATGTTTGTTAACTGTTTAGTATGCAGAAATATGACTCAGTCGTTTATTCCACTCAGATTTTTCAGGGAAGTGGCTGGATCGTTATACATACATCACTGTAATTGCCAGTTCGGCTTGTTTAATGTTCTAATTTTAATTTTAATGTTTTCTTTCTTGTCCCCCTCCCTCCCCCCCCCCCCAATTTTTTTTTTTTCATTTTCCCACCATCATTGAAAATCACCATTTTAGTGCTGTAATGGAGAGTTCTGTTATGTGTGAGCAGACTTTGAACTTCATGTAAAACTACAACACTTTTGAAAGTACAAGTGAGTATCTGTTTGGAATACTGCATGTATTGAATGCATGTGTGCTAAAAAATTATGGAATAGTGGCTGTTTGCGCAAATGCATGATTTATAAGGGAAAAACACAGAAAATGACATGTGGTCTAAAATGGAAAAAAAAAGCCCCAGCTAAAAATAGACCATATATAAACTAAAAATAGACCACATAGAAGCTAAAAATAGACCACATAGAAGCTAAAAATAGACCACATTTCAAGCTAAAAATAGACCACAGCAGCTAAAAATAGACCACATTTCAAGCTAAAAATAGACCACATACTAGCTAAAAATAGACCACATTTCAAGCTAAAAATAGGCCACATAGAAACCTAATTCACAACAATCATTACCTTTATCATCATAGTAAACTAAAAGTCAGTAAAGTTAGTGATCACAGCTTTCTAGCTTTTTGGTGACTAACTTAATTGAAATAAGTATATATTCCCGCAGGACTGTATTTGAAAGACCTTTTAACTGAATACAATCAATGAATACCAAGCTCACACATTTATCTAATTTAAGACATTTTGAATATTATGAGACACATTTTCCAATAATGCTCACAGAACCGTCATGCTCAAATTATGAATAAAGATATAATGGACGACTCCATTGAACACAGCTTAAAGGTAAATAAATAAAGCTCACAACACGTACGTTTTCTTAAAAGCATCAATCCAACTTTGCATTTAAGCATTTATCATGAGATCTGACACCAAGCAGATGGTGCTTTCTTATTCAACATACGGCGCGATAAAATACATCTCCTGACAAGTTTACTATGACTTTGGTTATTTGTTGACTAGATAGTATTTGTTGCATTTTCACATAGTAAAATAATTAACCAAGGCCAAGGACATTCTACTTTTTATTATTATTATTATTAATATTAACTAATAATGAAATACATTTTACCAGTATTTATTCATAATACTGTTGAGTGTTGCTTACCTGTTTGTCATTAAGTGGATGTTCCATAGTTTCATCAGTTCTTTTTCACCTTCATTAACATCAGTGAACTCATCTATCATCTATGAACACATTAATAACATTTAAAGATTAGAAGATTATGACAACCATTGTGCAAGTTCTTCTGCAGCATTCAATTCCTGGACTTTGCATCATATGCGAGTAGAGTTTATTGGGATTTTAGAGGGCTTTTCTCCCTTCAGGGTTTGATCTGTGAGTTAGCCATGCCCTGACTTAGATCAGTCCAGAGGTTGTTTCAGGGTTTGATCTGTGAGTTAGCCATGCCCTGACTTAGATCAGTCCAGAGGTTGTTTCAGGGTTAGATCTGTGAGTTAGCCATGCCCTGACTTAGATCAGCCTAGAGGTTGTTTCAGGGTTCAATATGTGAATTAGCCATGCCCTGACTTAGATCAGCCCAGAGGATGTTTCAGTGTTTGATCTGTGAGTTAGCCATGCCCTGAGTTAGATCAGCCCAGAGGTTGTTTCAGGGTTTGATCTGTGAGTTAGCCATGCCCTGAGTTAGATCAGCCCAGAGGTTGTTTCAGGGTTTGATCTGTGAGTTAACTCAGATCAGCCCAGAGGTTCTGAATAGATTACTTTCCTACTTTACCTGTAATGTTCTCATCCTCATCCACTCTGGATTTTCTTCCTCCTCGCTGTCTGACATGTCCTTATCTTCACCTGCAAACCCAGGTAAAGTTGTGGCTGAATGGAAGTAAATTCTGCAACAAACAAACAAGAAAACAATTATCGAAGAGAAGACAAGTCATACCATCAAATCAATCATAATCAATCATTTTATCACTTGCTTAAATCATGGTCGTTTCAATATTTATTGACAGAAGTCAACACTCTAGGGCCCGGTTGTACGAAGGATGGATAACGCTATCCAATGGATAAATCTTTATCCAGTGGATAAGTCAATGCTGTTATCAAATAAATGTATCCACTGGATAAGATTTGTCCATCAGATAGCGCTAACCACTCTTCATACGACTGGACCCAGATATCTATAATTTTCCTGGTTTTATTACTTCAATGGTTTCAAATACCTTTTGTGTCCATTATAATAAGGTCTATTGGTCTCGTATTCCATGTCATCAGTTTCTAAAAACTCTGACAAACTTGTTCTCCTTTGACTCGGTCTATATCAAAATCAAAATGTGTCATTTTCATGGTGTTGTTAATAACATTTGATGAAAACGACAGTAAGCTGGATTGCTTTATTTTCAAAGTTTTGATCTTTGAGTTAGCTGTGCCCTGACTTAGATCAGCCCAGAGGTTGTTTCAGGGTTCTATCTGTGAGTTAGCCATGCCCTGACTTAGATCAGCCCAGAGGTTGTTTCAGGGCTTGATCTTTGAGTTAGCTGTGCCCTGACTTAGATTAGCATAGAGATTGATTCAGGGTTTGATCTGTGAGTTATCCGTGGCCTGACTTAGATCAGCCCAGAGGTTGTTTCAGGGTTTGATCTGTGAGTAAGTCATGTCCTGACTTTTATCAGAGCACAGGGTGTTCCAGGATTCAAGCTTTTAGTTAGCCATGCCCTGACATAGATTAGCCCCGACTTGAATTAGCCCAGAAGGTTTGAACTGGATGACAACTCACCTCCAGAGTAAGACCTGGGTTTGGGATACTCGCTTCAAAGGGCCTTCACGGCTGAAGGCATACCCCATCATGTCATTGATTTCCTCAGGTTTCCCGGCATATGATCCATCATAGTGTTCATTTACACACACATCTATGCAAGCACCTTTGTTGTGAGGCTGAAAAAAGCATGTACAATATTGTTAGTCTGACTATGGTAGACACAAATTATTTGAAAGTTGTTGATAATAGCCCAACAATACAATACAATACAATGTACTTTATTTATACCAGAGATTACAATAAAGAAAAATATAGATATAAGTACATTTACCAAAGAATGGTAGAGGTTACCTAGAATAACTATATAAAGCTAAACGAGCTAGGTAACATACACGCCCAGCTCTGAGATATGCTTCCCTTGTCACGCAAAAATGTTTCAGTATGAAGCTACTTGCTAAATTAAATTTTATTCTTACCGCCTGTCACGAATGACTGAGCATTTAGCACGCAGCCTCATACTGAAACCTTTGTGTGTGACAAGTAAAGCATATCTCGGAAGTGGACTATTGCCCCTCACATCAAACTTACCGCATAAGTAAATTTAAATCTTCCATGGCATAGTTTGAGATGCTTTAGAAGGCTGTACAATTCGTTACAATTAATAGAACACCAGGGACAAAAAAAATCGTCCCGAGCTTCTGTCTGCTGACGTGTATGACTGTTGTAAATAAATTGATAATAAATGACTTGTCGTTTCTTCCCTTCTTTAGGATTCCCAGCATCCTCTGCAGGCTGTCGATTGGATTCTGTCGTATTATTGTTGTCGGTAGACTGGTTAGTGTGAGTCGGCCTAAGCGGCAAGGTTGTTGGTCGTCGTGTTAATGGTATGGCTGGATCGCTGGACCATGAGAGTTTGAACTTAATCGTTGGGCCATATGCAAAGACTTCAAATGGACCCATCTGTCAAAAATATAATTGCAAAGAATCACTTACAGGATAATTTTTGGTGTGAAATGTGATTGTCCGGGTGAGTGTAGTTTTGAGAAAGACTGTTGTTGGTGGTGACTGACGTTTCGACAACCTGAGCGGAAGTCATCTTCAGAGTCCAGTGAGAAAACGAGAGGATAATTACTCTTAGAGGATACTGTAATGTTGCAAGAAGATTGCATCTGAACATTTTGAGAGAGAGTGTATGGTAATTGTGTAGGTCCAGAAAATAACTGTACCTCCCTGTGGAGGGGGAGTGGATTTCCAAGGGGTGGGGAGGGTCTGAGGAGGGTATATTGTGTAGTACCAGAAAATATCATACCTCCCACATGGAGGGGGATTGAAATTTCCTAGGGGTGAGGAGGAAGTGAGGAGGGTTATTGTATTGTTCCAAATTACCAATTATTACAATTATTGGGGAAATGGTAAATGTTCTTACCAGATACAGTTTGAACTTTCTTCACGAGAAATCCCGAGCACTGTAGGATGAGGGGGATAGGGTAGGGAGTTTCACCAGTGGGGTAGGTATGTGCTAACTTTGATCACCTCATTTACTTACATTTCCTTTGAAGATATTTTCCCAAGACGATTTGTTGGACAATAACCCCCTCTTCCTTCCTGGTCTCTTGTACTTTTCCTGTAATGCCAGCTCATAGTCCCCGTCAGTAAGCAAACAATTCCTCTTGTTATCGAACATAATTAGTTCAGCAGTGTATAACATATTTTCTATTTCAAAGTCTGCAGACTTTTTGGAGTTATTGCCTTCTTCAGCAGGTTCGTCGATGCTGGAATTCCTTACTCGTTTAGCAGGAGGTTCACTGTTTTCTTTGTATGGTTTTTCATTACCTAAAATATGAAATAAAAGAAATGATGAAATGAAACATGACACATTTTATTAGTAGTACTGTAAATGACAAATTGCTTAAGAGAGGTGGTTAGTGCCAGGGTTTCAATATTTACCTTTAGATCCAACAACAAGACGTATCAGTCTTAAAATTGGTCTTGCGCATGTGGCTAACACTTAATCTTAGTCATATTTCATTTATCTTATTATCTATAGTGATAATCTATGTAAATGACCATGACTATGAAATGATTGTGCCAATCTTTAAAAGTTATAAACTCATACTATCTTGTTCTTATACTCCCCGTCGGATCTTAGGGTCTCTATTTTGTCGTCAGTGGTTCTATTGTATCCCTCTGATTTTGGTTAGTCATGATGCAGTGTGGAGAGACGGGACTTCTATTTAAAGTGTTAGGATTGTCATTTTTAGACATAATTACAAAGGCAGCACTTTTTTCCCCAGTTCTTTGAGAATCCTGAGTGTTAGTCAGTTGGATGCTCAATCAACAGAGCCAACATAAGCATAAACCTGAGTCCTTTGTATCAATAATTGTCCCCAGGCTAGGACATGAATATATACTGCATTGGTTAAATACTGCTACTATTATTATTTTTGCATTGCTAATATGCCGCCTTTCACCAATGTGACCCAGGTTTGTGCTCCCCGAGTCTTGGTGTCCTATGTGAGTAAAGTTGTTTGTTGGTTGTCTCCTGTGCTTTGAGGGTTTTTCCTCCGGCTCTCCAGTTTTTCCTCCCTCCACAAAAATCGACTTCTAGATTCTAATTCGATCTACCGGCTTCCTTATCAATTGGGTTGCAAGGCCTGTTCAGCGTTAAGCCGTCCACCCAGGAGTGGTAAACGCATTAGATTACTACTAATAATATAGACTCACCGTTTGCTATATCGTTTGAATCTGAGCTATTATCATTTTTGCTTCTCTTAGTACCCTTGGTAGGTACTTTATATGGAACAGCTATTTGGATAGTAAGGATAAATGTCTTGCTGAAGCCTTTTGCTCCTTTAAAGTTACTATTTGGTACTGACAGGATACCAGATGAAGATGCTGGAAGCAGTTGGGAGTTGGGATTGAATGGTATGGCTACCTTACCAAGAAGTGTTTGATCTATGTGAGCATCGCTATCCTGTGGAAAAAACCTGTGTTTAATTCTTTTTTTCTAATTTATGGAAGTTTAGTGTATTTGTTTTGGTAATGGGGGACCTTCCTGAAAACCACACTTGTAATGGGCGCATCCTTAGGAATGATCATTTATCATCATCCTCATCATCATCATCATAATCAACCGCATCATCATTATAACCCTGAATAGTTTCATTGTTTAGGGCACAAAGAAACTTAATATTTTTCTATGTATTTTCTAGCAATTTGCCAGAAGAACAGATCTCTACTTTGGGCGCAATGTTCTCCTATTTTAGAAAACGGTATCATTTTTTGAGACAGGGTTTGTGCTGAGGTAACCACTTAAAATTCAAGGACTATTCAAGGAGTATACAAGGACCAAAAAATGAATTTCCAAGGAGTATGTTCAGCTACCTATGCCAAGGTTTTACATGGTTGTTGCACACGGCTGACTTTCAGATTTTCTGATCTTTCTGAGTAGATCTATATCAGAACCATGCAAGTAATGATTGAAGCAAAAATTCAAGGAGTTTCACTAAAATAGTAAAATTCAAGAATTTTTTAAGTGCCCTTGAAAACGTGAATTAAATTCAAGGAGTTTTCAAGGAGTTTAAGGAGTAGCACGAACCCTGTTGAGGTTAACATTCTTTGTTTGAGTCGTATCCATATTTATGTGTCTTTTCATGAACCATTAAACAAAGAAATGATACTCAAGAGAATGACACATGGCTTGAAATGGGAAAACCTTACACCCAAAGTAAAAAGTTCTATTTCTTATTCAATTCCCATATATTTGCTGGACATACTTCAATACATTATATAGTCATAGTATAGTAGTAATAAATTATGCGTTCGGTGTATGAAATGAAATGGAGAGAAAAATATCAAATGCCCTTGGCGGGAATTGAACCCACGTCTTCGGTATTCTAGTCCTAGTCTAATGTGTTAACCACTACACCACAAGGACCAACCACGCTGGTAATGCAGCCAGAATATGAAAGTTATATTGGTCATATAGTTATATAGTCATTTGCTTAAATACTTCTTATCTATTTCCTAATTGTTTAATGAGAGATTTCCCATTCATTTCCCAGAATTTTGGTAAAGGAATTTCCATTCATTTTCTTAAGACTCTCCCATTCATTTCCCAGTTTTCTCCAGGTGTTTATTTTTCATACCTTTTTCCTTTTATTTGATATCTTGACCAGATAAACTTCTGCATTTACAAGGTCTTGCTCCAGCATAGATTTCTTTTTACTTCCAGTAAAGTTACCATTGGCTGTGAATGAAGAAATGAAGTCAGTGAAAAAATCAAAATAAATAACCAATCAAAATATGTATAAAAAGAACAAGATACAGGGCCGTAACCAGAACTTTTACAGGGAGGGTGCACATCGAATAAAATCGGACCATTGATCGTTTCTTTTAAGAAAGCAGAACCAAAAAAAAAAAAAAAAGGTAACTGAAAGAAAGCAGGACCAAAATAAAAATAAATAAAAATAAATAAAAATAAAAATAAAAAAATAAAAAATAAAAAAGGTAACCAAAAGAAAGCAGAACCAAAAAAAAAGGAGATGGATGAGCGGACCTTAAGCTTTTATGGGGGGGGGGGKGCACGTGCACCCTGTGCTCCCCCCTAGTTACGGCCCTGAGATACAAATGTTAATAAACATTTATCCTGGTTTTATCAAATCTTGAATCAATCTTTGGGCTGATCAAGTTCAAAGGGTAGTTTGCAAAGAGTAAAGGATTGGTTATTGATAAGTGTGCTTCTCACGTTGAGTTTTGGGTGCAAGCAGGAGTTTGCTAAGGATGAAGAAAGCTGTGATTTTAGCTTCTTAAGTGCTTAAGCATCCAACCAAATGCTCTCAAAAAATCGATGGAAGCACGCTAATCAATGACCAATGCTTTTATGACACTGCAAAAGTGTAAAAAAAAATTTAATTGAGAAAAATTCAAATTTTTAAACCAAAATCTCCATCACATACTGCCCTACTATTCCATCAGGTCAGCTTGAACCTTCGATATTTAGATGCAATCTTGTGCACGCTAAATAACTAATCAGAGCGTGCGTTATATCATGGCTATGTATCACTAGAATTTTATTACTGTATTTTACAATCCAACAGTACATACCTGGACCAGATCCAAAGAAGAAGCTACTGAAGGTGAGATTGAGGTAGCCACCCTCCTCTAATTTGCTGAATGAGAAGAAAATATAAATGGGATGAGTAAATTGAGAGTTGTAAAGATCATCTAATTGACCAACAATTTGTACGTACCTATTATTCTCCACTTCCGTTTCTCTTTTTTCTACGACCTCTAACATGTTATCCACCTTGAAATCCATTCTAAGTGAAAAAGAATCCAATTCTCATGTACTATAACTCTATCTATCAAATTTGAATATATATTTTACATGAAGTTGCGAGTTTATAAACTTTATACAATCCATACACTTCTCCCAGAGTTTTGCGTAAATCTCAAGTATGTAAGTAAGACCTCTAACCCCTAAGAAACTACACCCCCCCCCCCCCTCTGAAGAAGACATTCTTTGGAAAAATGTTAGATTGTTAGACACGATTTCCCCTCACTTACAATGAACATATTTTTGTACAATAAAAAGATTTCGTGCTTTTACTTCCTCATCTTCGTCTGTTACTGAACGTAATCCTGAATGTTGATAAACTTCCTCAATATTTTCGCAAACAATAGCCTATAGCAATAAATATCTCCAGATCGCAAGAAAAACAAAAATAGAAAAACTGGAGGTGTCTGTACACCGTTTGAAAATAATCTTAGGGATATTATTTTACTTCATGCAGGAAGAAAAACAATTGTATTATTTTGAATATTCCACGTGTGGAGACTAAACACTTTTTACAGAAAACAATGATGACATTTGCATTCATTGTCATCTAGCAGGTCACAGCCTTAGGTAACTCCATCTTTGTGAATATCATTAAAAATAGAAAAAAAGTGAAAATAAGGAATATTAGTTTGTTTTAACTTCGAAAAGAAGTTTTTTAGGGATTTATAGCTTGGGAATTTTAGGATGCATACGAAAGGATTCAGAAGATTCGCGCACGTGTTTTGAGTCGAACTTCAGAAGTGCCTTTCTTTGTTTAACACTTATTATTAGCATGTTCCTTAGCTTTGTCTTATAATTATACGGAATATTCAAAATTTTTCAACCCAAACTCCTCATATTCTTACTATTCTATCCTAGAATTACGTTATTTCTTAGTTTTAGGTTACAGGAGAGGAATTTTTTATTAAAAAATCCCCCGACGAACTTACCTATGTTGTCTTCTTGGTGTTCTAAGATGCTTCATGTAGGACAATGTTCGGTGCAAATACACCGGCTTTGGGAAGAAAACCATAAAATTTAACGTTTAGAACTAATGATTATTCAAGAAATTATCAAGGATAGATTTTAATATGTTATTTTTAAGGGAATTCTTAAAGAAAAGGTTAGGAATTTCAATTATCATTGGGAATGAAGAGAGCAAGTTCAGACAGAGTTCAGTTGTTGTACATGTTTATCCTTAAAAACTCACTTGAACAGCATTTCTCGTCCTCAAAAAACGATATATCTGTGTCGGCTCTGTAAGCAAGAAAGATTAATGAATGAAAATACAATAATGAGGTCCGAAAGACGAGAAATTCTCTGGTTTTGAGAGGAGATTTGGATGTTGTTACTTGAGACTCACTCTCAAACGCTTTGAGAAACATCTCGTGATCCGCTCGAAGTTGATCGAACTTTGGCTTCTTTTGGGCAGGAAGGGTAACACTAGGCTTTTCAGCCTCTGTCTTAACTGAATCCATGATTTGTATTGAGTTATTTAACTCAGGAAATACGTTCCCTTGTTCAGTAGTCGTTAACTGGTCGCCATTCACAAAGTTTCTTGTCAAGTAAACGCGGGAACTGCGGCGAGAGTCGCGAGGAATACTGGGATACCCTAGAGGGTGGGGTACAGGGGTACAGGGGTGCAGGGGTACAGGGGTGTAGGGGTACAGGGGTGTAGGGGTACAGGGGTGTAGGGGTACAGGGGTGTAGGGGTATAGCATGATAAGGGTACCGGGGAAAAGAGCTAAGTAATCACTACCTAACGCTAAAATCCTCGACTCAGATATTCTGAAATTTCGACTTGGCGTAAATCTTTTCGAGTTTCACCCCTGACGTCTCACCGTAGTTTTGTCTTGGTCAGAAAATTTCCCTGGCTTCGAAAAAGCCAAGAATATTCTTATTTTGGAATGCTTGTTTTTGTGAAGATAAGCCTTCTTAATATTGTATAGATAACCTGAGTTTCAGGGCCTGAAACTCAAGTTAAACACAAGATGAAACGTTTTTAAAATCGCTGGATTTTTTTTACCTTGTTTTTGCCTTATAGTATGCGGAAGGATACTCATATTCTATCGATACAGGTGAAACAATCTCTGGGCTGATCAGAGCAAGGGCACAACTAACTTACAGTTCGAATTAGAATTTACTGCGTTAGGTTGAAAGGAGGAAAGAAAACCTAAAAAAACTCGAATAGAGGGAGAAACCAGAGACTCTGGGGAGAGACAAATAAACGAACTCTACTTTATCGTATAATCCCGAATTTGGGAATGATCCCTTGCACCCATGCTATTTCATTCAGCAAAGATTACTTCCCCAAAACTTCTCTCTCAGTTTTTATACTTGGACATTGGCTAAAAGTTATGGAAGACCCATTATGGTGAACTGAAATATCTCTATTTTTCTTCAAAACATAACACAGTGTTTCCATGATTAAACGAACGGTATTTTTTGTATCTCACGAGTTCTTTCACCACTTTTTGAATCGAGCATCCACTATTCCCCCCAAATGTTTTATACCTCATATAATTCGTATCCCGAGTCTTGCTTAAGTAGTAATTGAACCATTAAACCAATTCTACAACATAATTTTCAGTATCTTTATTTTTACTATCTTTTTTACATCAATAGCTTCGAAGCATGAACAAAGAGCAACTCCACGAATGTTTGCAAGTGTTTCGTGCGAGGATACCAGACAAAGATTTAAGTATCAGTCTAATTTTTCACAGATTAGACTATTTGTTATAAAGAGTATCAATAAATGTTGTAATTAAATAATAAAGAAAAGACTCTAAAATATATTTCAAATAGATGTTGACTTTTTGCCAAAAGTAGTTCAGAAACTTTTGGTAGTATGCTTGAAAAGACACCTAATATTTTCAAAAAAATATTGAAAACTTGAACCATAATTTTCGTGAAACTTATGTTATTTTGTGTACTTATAGTTTTTGCAAGTATTTTAGAAAAATCTAAGCATGAAAAAATGGAGGAATGCATTTAATTATAGTTTTTGTATGTAAGATGCAAGCACAAGAAATACAAAATCACAAGGAACAATGAGGTAGAACTTAGTGAAAAATAGAAGAATAAAAAATTGAGGTGGAAAGTTTTTAGGAAATTTTTGCAAGTGAAAGAAGAAGTTGAAATCAGAGCTAATTATTATATCGACACTTGTTTTTTATTCATATTCAAGTACTTTCTTGTGGTAGAAAAGTAGATACCTAAAACGAAAAAACAAATTGCTTTTGTTAATAATAAGAAAACTGTCATTATCATCATCACTATCATCATTAATAATCATAGAATATTTTGTGGTCAGTTACGAAAGGTTAAGGTGGAACATGAGAATCAATAAACCCAACGGTGCACTCAGTACTATTACAGCAATAGCAACAGCACCATTAGTATCGACATCAACAGCAGCATCATCAACGACTTACATAACCACTTCTTCCATCATCCCTGCTGCCATTATTTCCATCACCATCTACCACCACCATCATCATCATCACTATACTACCATCATTATCTACCACCACCATCATCATCATCTACCTATCATCATCACTATACTACCATCATTATCTACTACCACCATTATCATCTTCCTATGAACAACTTCAGTTATGCAGTCTCAGATTCACTTCTGAGATCAAAAAACTCCTCCAGCAACTCCTGGAATCAAGGCTAAGCCTGCACAGAATAAGGTTTTGAGTCCTCAATAAATATCATCACTGCCATTATCACCATCATTATATGCTTCCATCACCATCATCATCATCATCACCACCAGAACCAGCACCAGCACCACCATTATCATCATCGTCATCATCATCATCATCATTAGCATCAGCATCAACTGCCATCATCAGGATCAAGCAACATTTACCCTTCACTTTGTAACACATCATCTATGGATGCTTTAGTGATCCATGCATCATCACATTTGAACCACTAAAACCAACAAGAAATAAGAAAAATATTAGAGATTATTAATCCAGCAAGTATATCTTACTAGCATCATGACTGTAGTGATATTTGCTTTTAATGCTACTATCTTTATCAGCACCATCACTTGCATACATCTTTTTTCTCGCCTTTCACACCTGGGTCTAAGGTTCGATTCCCGAACTTACTACATCACATGTGAGTAGAGTTCAATGGATTATCTCCAGGTTTCCTGGTTTTCCTCCCTCTGCAAAACCTAATATGCTAAATTTCACTACAATCTGTGAATTAGTCATGTCCTGACTTTAGATCAGCCCAGAGGTGGTTTCAGGGTTCAATCTGTGAGTTAGCCATGCCCTGACTTAGATCAGCCCAGAGGTTGTTTCAGGGTTCTATCTGTGAGTTAGCCATACCCTGACTTAGATCAACCCAGAGGTTGTTTCAGGGTTTGATCTGTGAGTTAGCCATACCCTGACTTAGATCAGCCCAGAGGTTGTTTCAGG